GATTTTAGTTTTGGGAAAAGCCAGAAGTCGCAGGGCACCAAATCTTGGCTGTAGGGGGGACCCGAGTCACCTGGGTGATTTGATGTTTCGCCAAAAACCTCTGCATGGGCGGGTGAATTGTCGTGATGAAGCTGCCAGTCACCAGTTGCCCATAGTTGCGGCTGTTTTCATCGTATTGCTTCTCATATTTTTCATATTACAAGGCTGGATACTTTCCAGACAGCCCTTGGACATTTACGAAGGCTCTAAGTGGACATGGTGATACAATATGAGATGAAGTGAGAAAATCTATTTCAATGCTTCTGCGGTCTTCCGAGAAAACTTTTGTTTTGAGTTTGCTAACTGAGAAAATGCAAATGTTTTGTGTTTGCTAACAAGACATTAGCATTTTCTCACAAAAGTATTGCATTCCCCAGAACAACTTGGCGTTGGCTCACAAAACATTTGCTTCTCTCGCAAAAGTATTTCGCTCCCCAGAGAAACTAATCACTCGTTCGCAAAACTTTTGCATGCTTTCATAAAAGTACTGCACTCCCCCAAGAATACTTTGCGTTCTTTTGCAAAACTATTGTTCAGTTCAGTTTCTTGCACAGACTGTGAATGAGTTTGCTTCATAAGCCCTCAGTATATTGTCAGGAGCCACGGGTATTAATTTTGTGTTCCCTGATATTTTTTTGACTCTTAAAGTGACGAGAACCACTGATTTGCATTTTATGCATTTCCAAGGACCATGGTGTCAGCTAAAAATAAATCTTCTTTACGGTTTTACTGAATAAAAAAAGTCACCTACACCATGGATGGCCTGAGGGTGAGTAAATTCACAGCAAATTTTCATTTTTGGGTGAACTATCCCTTTAAATGACTCCAGATAAATGATGTAAGATGCTTTACCGTATTACAGGCATGCAGGAGCTGATGTACAGACTGAAACACACTTGCACCAGAATTGAGGGCCGGAGGGGCTCTCTGGCAGTACGCCTTAAAGTCTGTGTTGTAGATGTGTCCGAAAGCTGTCATGAGCTGAGACATGTCTGAGATGGCCACTTTCAGCGCACAGGGGGACAGCACAGCTGCAGAACCTGACAAATGTGACTGCAGGAACTCACACTGAGGAACAGAGAGGATCACGCTATTATGGAAACCAAACACATCAAATCAGATGTGAAACATGGCACATGATGGTCCCACCTCTTTGTGGAGCTCGTCTAATGTGCTCTGGGTAGACTGCAGCAGCGCCATGGCCTCTGTCAGGCTTTCTTCTCCATGACTTCCTAGTCGGGAATGTTGATCACTCCTTCAATGCCAGTAAATAACAACCGTGTTAAAGACAACAGTTTGAAGAAAAAAAAAAAACTTGTTCATGGGTGCATAACAATCATATAGACCTGTTTATGAAATCGCTGGGTTTACTGTGGTTTCCGTTCGTTTTGTTGCGAGTTGACTGCGTGCGTATTAGATGTTCACGGATATGCGCAGGCCACGGGTTGCAGACTGGATTCAGGAGCATATCCAGGTCGGTTAAGTGGTCCTGAAACATCAGCTCCCCAAGAAGATCATCGTTCTTTACACTGTCATCACCAGAGCATGAGTTCTGCCTACATCCATCAAAACAAACAGAGAAACAAGACCACTTTAAATTATTGTAGGCCCGAGGAGGGCCTGACTCAAGATTGATGTTAAATCAGTGTTACAAAAAACTGCACAAGTCAGATACCTAGAGTTTATGGAGGAGTCTGCTTGAATCACCATTAGAATCTGCTCCAGAAACCTCAGTTGCCGCAATGGTGGTGCACAGCCCTGAAAATATAACAGATTAATTCCTTCTGTTTTAGTCCTTCTGCATTTAAGATTAGATAAGATTCTTAACCAAGCATCAATCCATCCCCAAATATTTTTTTGCTTGTTCAAACATGTTCCGTATAAAATGTCTTATTCCAATGAAGTTGTCAGCAGTGTTGCTAAAGGTGCAAGTGAAACTAAAAAGATCCAAGCTTTCAAAAACATTTCACAGTAATCTCTACTCTGTTCCTTACATAAAATGCACTAGACAGTATAAAGAACAACATTGTAGAACTTCATACCTTAATCAAATCCTGGTCATTAGCTTTACATAACATCATTTCATAACCAAACCGTGTGAGTTCTGTGTGAGAGAGAGAAAGCACAACAAAACAATAAACACAAGAAAATAACAAAAATAAAAAATACAGAGCAGACCAAGCTTTGTTGGACCTTTTCTTTGCAAATAAATAAATAATCAGAGTAACAGCTATATTTATGAAAAAATGAAACGACATACTTATTCTGACCAATATATTAAAATATATATATAAAAAAATAAGATCATACTAAATTTTACTTTAATTAAATTACAATTAATTTGGGGGGATGCTTTGTGATCCTTATATAGAGTTTTTAATGTCATCTAATGATTCTTGCCTGACAAGATTTTTTTGGTATACAGGTATGAACTACTGTTATACTGAATGATATTTTCGAGGGTGTCTTCTGTAAATCACGGTAAAAATGTACGATAGTCATTGTTTTTTTATCAGAAAAAAATAAATCAAAAGAAAAAACTTTATATATATATATATATATATATATATATATATATATATATATATATAATTAAAACAGACATTAATGTTTGGGGGAAAACTAAAATTAAAGCTGTAATAAACTTTTTATTGTCTTTGACCCATACAAAAGATTACCTTGAACTAAATCCTCATTCTGAGTTGATTTAATTGTGGAAAACTTCTCCTTTAGGGATGGACAAATGCTTTGTAAACACAAACAGAGCAAGGCATTTTAGTATACAGATTTGCAAACTACACATTTGGCATCCTTCTAATCATGTTTAGAAGTCTATCATGCATCAGACCTGGCGCAAATCCATTTGAGTATATCTGTCCTGTGTAATGAAGGAGAGCAGAGGAGCTCCTGCACACTGTCCGGCTCCCGCAGGTACAGCCCATCCACCAGAGGACAGCCCAGACTCTGAGCACACCATACAACAGTTCAAACAGCCCATCAAGTTACTGTGTTACTGACAATATTTAGACTCGCTAAACAGTGTTCATATACAGCATAAGTTACACTGAGCCTGATAACAGAAACGTTAACTAAACCAGCCATTATATAAAGTACTATATTTGTCTATTACACAAGTGGTGTCCTAAAATGTGGACAACAGATAATATCTTAAAATATCTGTTATTTTAATTGCACACAGCTGTTAGCTCCAAAACTAGCAGCTTAGTGGCTCACTAGACACAAAACACTACTACGGACTCAGAACAGCCGGACAAAAAAGTTCGCAAAACATCAGAAAATTATTGAATGTGTCATTTTCTGAGTGTGGTGTGTCTATAAAGATGTGTAAACTACCTGAAGGCTGTTGTAAACTCGCATAGACAGCAGCTGCTCTTTTGAATTGTCCGCCATATTGTTATTCCTGCAGTGAGTCTGTGCGTCAGTGGCGTTCAGCGCCTGCGGTTACAGCGACCCCCAGCGGCCACGCGGACATTACAACTATGATTACACTATAATTATGCTATGATTACGCTGGGAAGGCCTAATAAGATGATTATCATATCTACCTTGTGCATTATAAATAATTATAATAATTGAAGATTTGAGCATTTTTTGATGATTCAGCAAGACAAAAAGTGTGAGTCTTTTATTTCTTATATCCTTCTGACACCCAGCTATGGGGTTTTGTCCTCTGTTGCAGACACATTTTAGAAAATGTTTTCTTATGTTCTAAACAATAAATGACATGAAATGACAATGTCATGGCTTTTTTTTCCTGGTGGTCAGTACAGGAGGATATTTCAGGTATATGTACGGTTTTTACTTCTTCATCTTAGATAATATGCAAACTGGTTTATCAATACATCCCAAATATTTTGCTGGAACAAATCAAATGTCAAATGTACTGTATGAAATAGCTTGATTAAATGAGTGTGAGTCTTTTATTTCTTATATCCTTCTGACACCCAGCTATGGGGTTTTGTCCTCTGTTGCAGACACATTTTAGTGAATTTCTTTGACACCTTGAATGTCACTGATTTAAGTCTGGATGTCCTGTAAAGAGCACATTACCAAATGTTTGGAAGTTTCACCATGACCACTCCCTCTCCTTGGTCTTTAAAATGGCTGACATTAATGTAGTGATTAAATTTAACACCCTTATGGAAATATGATATTTTGTAATGATCATTTAAATCTGACAAATTTTTGTTTTGACTAATAATTGTTTGTCATAAATCAACATCTTAGGAAAATGTTCTGGGGCTTCAAATATGTCAAAATATGACTTCTGTTATGAAACAGGACATGGATTCCATACATGTCAGGACACCAGGAGTTAAAGCAAGTTTATTACACTTTTTGGGAGACACAAGTGAATAGGGAAAGAAATTATACATCAATATTCCTATGAAATATTAGATATTATTATGAAGATTTTGCCAATTATTACTCCCATTATTACACTTCTTTTTTCATTACATGTTGCTCCAAGAACACATTAATATGCAAATTAGCTACAGTGCATAGATACATTGTATATTATGGGAAAACCTGTTCATTTTACACACAAATAGCATAAAGCAAAATGGTATATCAAATCACTCTGTTATATATTTCATAACATAGTTGAGAATCATCCTTTTATAAAATTTTGTATAAAGAATAAAAACAGATTTTTAAAAAACGGGTGAAAAAAAGAATCCCACTGTTTTAGCCTTTACATGTCTATTCATGTCTTTTTTATTATTCCTGTGGCCGGTTGCATAAACTGCTTAGACTAGTCTTAAAATTTAGACACCTAATTCTTTTCTGCAAGACTGGTCATAATTTTTTTTTAAGTCAGTTACATAAAAACTCATTTGAATCTGAAAAGTAAGACTGATAACCACTTGGTTAACTGCTAGTTAGTCAAACTAGTTCTTATGGCACAGTCTTAACGTGGTGACTGTTTATGCAACTGGCCCCTACTATAGAGAACATAGCATAACATATGAATAAAATATAATTTTTCAAAAATGTTTTCTTATGTTCTAAACAATAAATGACATGAAATGACAATGTCATGGCTTTTTTTCCCTGGTGGTCAGTACAGGAGGATATTTCAGGTATATGTACGGTTTTTACTTCTTCATCTTAGATAATATGCAAACTGGTTTATCAATACATCCCAAATATTTTGCTGGAACAAATCAAATGTCAAATGTACTGTATGAAATAGCTTGATTAAATTATTCGAAATATTTCTGGACAAAAATACGTTTTATCTCAATGAGGTTTTCAGTAGTGCTGCTTTAAAGATGCAATAACCAAAACAAATTCACAAACATTTGACTATAACCTCTATTGTGTTCCTTAAATAAAAAGGTGTCCTTAATGCCTGCTGCCTTTCACATAAGCTGAGAAAATGACAAATTCATAGTTTGTTCAAATGTGCTGTCTAAACATTACAAAATATCACATGAGATATTTTGCTTAGATATGATATGGAAGACAATGTCCAGTAATTTGTTCGGGAAATACATGTTGATGACACAAAAGGCAAGTTGAGTGCCAATTCTTATGTGCTTATACATCTTCAGTGAAGTTTAAAGATCTGGTCTGAGCGAGTGCAGTTTCAAATAGTACGCTGCCCCTGAAAAAAGGGATGAGATGTAAAGTTAATACAGTCTGAGAATTATTCATTATTCCGATGTGAGAATAAAGCAGGGATAGATGTTTATAGATGTGCAGATTTCTTATTGTGACATTTCCTCAATTAACTATAAAAATGATGTAAATAATGAGAATAAATCTATTTTCTAATAATGAGACTTTGTTGTTACTCTGCTCACCCTCCAGACTCAAATCCCAATGCTGTGATGAAGATGTTGATAAGAACAGTAAAGAACACAAATACAGTTGCTGCGTCATTCATTGTGTGTAGCCTCGGCTGTATCTTAACATCATTCAGGTCATACTTCACTGAAAAAAACAACAGAAAACACATCTGTGTTACGTCAATGAAATTACAGCAGAATACGTTCAAAGAAACTTAATAACAGACATAAGTGTAAACTAACCAATGAAGATGAGTAGGAGGCCAACAGCGACCTGCAGTGAGATGGACAGTGAGAGCAGAGCGATAAGAGGAGCATAGAAGCGGTGCTGCGCTCCTGAATGCAGCACTGTCTTCAGCTGAGAGGAGTTCGCCATCAGAAGAGCCACATCCAACATGCTCTGTGCTGCACTCTTCTTAGTAGCATAATGGTTCATGTTGAAGGGAGGCTGTGTGTTCCCTGCGCCAGGAGCCTGACAGGGAGTCAACATTACATAAAAAGTCCAATGCTGAACACTGGAAACATTAAAAATTCAATATTCCCTCCAAATGAATATGTATATATTAAATAACTCCTTTAACTAATGTTCCTCTAAAGAAGAAGACAGAAGAAATAAACACCTGGCTTTGCTCATTATGGTATTATTACTAGGCTATAATAGAACAGAAATCAAATAAGCTGGTAAAGTGGTACCATAAAACAGGGATGTTCCGAATGAGATTGCCGGTGGATTTTAATTAGTATGTGAGGTGTAAATCTTTGGAATTAATAGATTTAAACAAAATTACTTTAAGCAGAAAATAATTTTCTGAGATTTTAAATGTCATAATTACATGATTATACTGTAGTGAGTAATACTTAACAACATGTAACATTTCATATGAAATAATTTTTCTAATCCTGCTTAATAAAGTTCACACGGTTACATATAGGGAAGCGTATAGTATCAAAAATATCTGCCATTTTTCAAATATCAGTAACATTATGAAAACATACGATTTTTTATACAGTATGATGACCAACAATCTGCCCAGAAATTGCATGTAAAATAAAAAGTAAAGCGTTATTAAACTGAGTAATGGAGACCTCAATCAGAAGATGAGGGTTAAATATATATGTGTGTGATATGATTGTGCTCAAACATTTCTATGCAAATTAAGCTGAACATCAGAATGGTCATAAGTCTTGATTGTTTAGTGTCAGGGGTCTCCTCTGACAGTTCTGTCTGTCTTGTGTTTGTTTCATATGTCCTTGTTTGTGTTGTGCACATGGCTCTGTCTTTGTTTGTTGTGCTCCTCTCGTCCTGCCTCCTTGTTACCAATTACTGAGTCCTTGTTTTACTGAGTGTTGTCACTTGTTCCTTATGTTCTCTGCTCCCTTTATATTGTGCTTCCTTTCCCTCTTGTGTTGCCAGTTTGTCTAACTATTCTTTGTTGTGTTCTTCCTGTCGCTAGTAGTCTGCAGAGTATTGTTGAGTGTCTTGTACTACTACTACTTGCTAATTCTAGTCTTGTTTTGTTCAGTCAACTGTTCTTGAGTTTCCTTGCTATTGTTTGGTATTATTCCCTTTAGTTTTCTCTTTATTTTGCCATTGTAGTTTGCTTTATGCTTTTTCTTCTTTAGTTTATTCCTAGTTATAGTTTTCTCCATTTGTTTTTTACTTCTGTAGTAGTTTTTCTATTGGTTGTCTTTGCCATGTCTTGTCTTGTCTTGTCTTGTCTTGTCTGCGGTGTCCCTTGTTTGTTCCAGCCCTGTCCTGCAGGCTGAGCCTCCCTGTCTGCATATTCTAACTGCCAAGCAGCAAGACCAGCGCAGTGCTTGATTGTGCCCAGATAGTCGACCCTCTTGTGCTGTGTTATCCTGCCTGGTCCTTGCTGTTCTCCCCAGTCTAGCTCTGCCATCCCTTCGCAGTTGTCCTACCAACTGCCATCCTGGGCTGGACTCGGCGGCCACTCTCTCAGCCTGCCTGTTTGCACTGATCACCTCCTTTCCCTCAATTTCTTGTCTTGTCAGCTGTCCTGTCAATAAACCTGTTAACACTCCTTCTGTGCTTGAGTCCTCTCTCATAGATTCCCTGACAATTTAGGGCATAACAGTATTTTTAATTTTAGTATATTCAAACTTATTTAAGTTTATGCATATATAAGTGTCGTATATGCATAATCAAAAAAGCACCACATGGTGTGCATGATTACTTTTTCCCACATAAATCATAATGTCAAAGATCCTCAAATTGTTCGTATATAGGTTTTATCTTACATTTCTTTTGAATGTTTGTGTAGTTGCTCATGTGTAGTCAAAAGATTTGATATATTTTCAACATGGATTAAAGATAATAGCTCTGTATTGGTTATATACAAAAGATGGGAATGATAACATCTCCAGGGTACGGCTGTAGTTATGTGTCTGTCAGCATAGCAGTTTGGGGTGGTGATGAAGGCTGTTCTCAGTTCTTTCAAACTTACATATTCTGTGAGAGCAGCCAATCCGTCCACTCCCAAATATGCTATTTATAGTCTTACAAAACAGAACTGGTTTAATTCCTCTTTCACGTGTCAAATGTAGGCAACTGCAATAGATGTTTATTACAATATTTTGTAAAACTGACACAGTAGGCTGGCTAATAAACCTGTAAATGAAACAGATAAACAGCAAATAAAACATCATTTTAAGATAAATAACAACACAACGTCTCCATTCTTTATTCTTCTAGCCTTAAAACAGTAATCGAGATGTTTTGAACGGAACGGTTTCCGTTTGTTGAATAAAAAGCATCAAACAACAGAAAAAGCTTTACCTTTCCTGATTCACTGAGAGGTCGGTCCTCCTCCATCGAGTCGGATGCTCAACTTAGCAGGATTATCTAAAAGAAGCATTCGATGAGCTCACGAAGTAATGACAGCCTACAGAAAAATCGCGTGAGAAATACTTGATTCCTACACTGAAACATAACCAACGGATTGCTCCTTCAGCTCTGCTGCTATGTTCTGATTGGGAGTAGTGTGTGGACACATCCTAGTGACTCCAATCTTTTGATTCCTTTCACTGAAAAGACTCGCTATGAATCGTTTTCTTTAAAAGAGAACATTGTCAACCTATAAGGAAGCAGCTACCAGTGTTGGGGAAAGTTACTTTTAAAAGTAATACATTACAATATTGCGTTACTCCATAAAAAAGTAACTAATTACGTTAATTAAGTAATGCGTTACGTTACTTTTGCGTTACTTTAAAATCTGGTCAGGGCTTGCTTGTTTGTTTTTAAAATAAAAAATTTATATTTTTGGCAAATATAAAAGCCTTTTCACACCACAAGTGAAATGAATAAGCCTCAGGCTGAAGGGAAAGTAAATTTACGTCCGTACAGTAGAATGCAGAAGAAGAAATTTCAACACTTCAGAAATAAAAAAAGACACACAAATGTTTGTCTAGAATAATTTTTGATTATTAGTACGGTTGAACTGGATCATCGAAGGTCAGAAGCAAAGACATTGATTAATAGAATGGGATTAAATACATAAAGGATATTTGTGTTGTTTAACATTTAATGATTGCAGGTTTGCATCATATTCTGAGTTGCATTATTTTTATTCATTTTGAGGAATAGTGAATCTGTGGGGGTTTTTTTGTGTGTGAGTGAGATGAATTCATGCATATTCATATTTATTTTAGATCTACAGTAACATCTTCTGATTTCTCTCAACATGGGGACAGGAGAGCTGTCAATCAATAAATTGGAAAAAAAGTAACTTGTGTTACTTATTTGAAAAAGTAACTCAGATATTCTCTTGTAAATTAAAAAGTAATGCGTTACTTTACTAGTTACTTGAAAAAAGTAATCTGATTACGTAACTCGCGTTACTTGTAATGCATTACCCCCAACATTGAGTTACAATACAAAAATATTAAAATAATAATAATTAAAAAATTATAATACAAGACAGGAGTATATAATTAAACAAAACACATCAAATTCAAAGGAAAAGATTGCACAGCTTACGAATTTCAATTGTTTTCAAAGCCTTCTTATTTCATGAGTAAGAAATTGCCCCAAAGTAATACTGTATTTCAGCAAGCAAAAAAAAAAAAAGTGGCTTCTGACTTGAGAATTTATATTTATGTATATAACATTTTGTTAACAAGATAAGATTAAGTAGCCTATATTTAGTTTTTTTCTGTAAATGCACTTTTTTCCTATTAACAAATCCAAACAAAACATTCTCCCAAAGTAAAGAAAATTCTTTATCAATATTATCATTAAAAAATTAGGAAAAGTCTTCACAACAATTTAGAATAATGGCAGTGGCAAAATAAATGCACTATAGCCTCTGGGTGCTGTTTACAAAAAGAACAGTTTGTATCAATATCTTTTTTGTATTTCTTTAAGAAAGTATTAACAGGATATATACGATGGCTAATTCGAAAGGAAATTTATTTTATCTTATTAGTAATTAAGTATCTATTCGGCATCAGCCAAACTTTTCTCCAGGCAATATCAGAAACAAAAGCATTCCAATAAAACTGTAACATTTGGAACCGACACAAATTCATTAAGAAGTAACAAACGTATTGATTTATTAGAAGAAGTGGCTGAAAAGCAATGTTTCCCCTGAAACAGTATAGGATCTAAAGAAGGTAAGACAGAAGGATAGGGGATCTTTTGAAACAGTCTAACTCCAGATGATATAGCATCAAAAACAATAGCAAATTCTTTAGGGGTAATGGGAATATTAAAATGACAAAGAGATTCTTCATAGTTTAGTGGTCATTGTCATTAAACAATTGATTTACGAGTAAAATGTTTGCTCAAACCAGCACTTAAAGAAAAGAGATTTGATTTTATACAGAATATCTTGGTTATTCCAGATAAAATATTTATGAGGAGAAAAGTTGTGCTTGTATAACAGAGCCCAGGCGAGAAGGACCTGGAAGGAAATAAAATGGAGAAAAGGTAATGTGGAAAATGTAAAGTTCCAGACAGAGGTTGGATTTTTGAGAAAGTGTTTGGCCCAGTTGATTTTAAGAGTATTATAAAATGCACAAAACCCATTTTCATAGGTATTTAAGACCACATATTTTTATATATAATGTATGCCATTTTTCCATATGAAATTAAATAACATTTTGTCAGTATTCTTGAGCGTTCTTATCAACATGGAGACACTGAGCAGCAGTCGCTATGATTTGTTCAAGGACTCAGTTACGTCATAAGATGTCGACAAGTCACATTCCTCATATAATTACATGTTTTTAATTCAGTGTTGTTAAAGCCCAAGTCTTGTTTACTCAGTGATTATTTGCCTCATGTATTTTGTCATACAATTACATCTAGATATTTTTACATGCATCTCCCATAAAGCCATATTCGAATAACAAACCCATATGCATAATACAGAAAACAATTTTGTCTTATCTTTTGTAATTATCTTTTTATTATGACTTTAATATGTTTATTGGCATTTTCACTTGAAACAAACTATGAAATTAAATTGTGTACTTCCAGGATATTCTGCTCCAGCCTTCATGATCTTCTTGATATAAATGCCCACTTACCTCGCTCCATGATAATTCATCCATCCTTCACCATCCTATCTCTACCTCTATTTCTATGGCATTAAATAGTAAATATTGTAAATTCTTATTAAAGGGATAGTTCACCCAAAAATGAAAATTTGATGTTTATCTGCTTACCCCCAGGGCATCCAAGATGTAGGTGACTTTGTTTCTTCAGTAGAACACAATGATGATTTTTAACTCCAACCGTTGCAGTCTGTCAGTCGTATAATGCATGGCAATGTAACAAAATCTATGAGAGTAAAAAAAACATGCACAGACAAATCTAAATTAAACCCTGTGGCTTGTGACGACACATTGATGTCCTAAGACACGAAACGATTGATTTGTGCCAGAAACCGAACAGTATTTATATAATTTTTTACCTCTAATACAACACTATGTCCAACTGCTTTGAGCGCGCGCATGGCATCCGATGCGTGAGGTGTGTAGGCGCACTGGCGTAGTTTACGCAAGCGCCGGAATTGATCTCTCACGCGTATACGTCACTCATTGTTTACACAATGCACAAACATTGTAGGTACGACGGCTAATCAAAATGGTACTTACTTGTGCTTATCCGGATTGTTCAATTCAACTCATTTGTTCATATGCACCTTGTAATTGTTGCAATATCATTACAAATACAACACATTACTCACTCTATTGACAGCGTGCCATTGAGTCCCTCTGGCCTTGGACATCGCCTCCAGTTTATACGTGGCAAGCTAAACACAACGTGCAAAATGCTGCGGCTCAACAGCGGAGAAAAGTCTGGATCTTCAGTCAGGCAGGTGTGTGATGGGACACCCTCGGCAACGTCCTTGTCGGCGTCTTGTAGTTGTGGCATTGCTATGTTCCATTTGTGACAACAGATGCGCTCCACTTCTGTTGGCATCTCACAACACTTACTACAAGAACACCACCACTTTTGAAGATATCTCTGTCTCTCTGAGGCTTGAAGAGAGCTTGCAGCAGATGCTTCCTCCATCTCTCTGAGTTCTTGATCTGAGTATTCTAGTTCAAATAAATACGGTTGGGTAAAAACATCCACGTGGTCTGTTGATATATCAAAATCGTCTTCTATTGTGATGACCTGTACTTCTAAATATCTTTAGATCTTCACAGTGGCAGGGAACACTTCCGCAATGATTGTGCACTGTGTAAACAATGAGTGACGTATACGCGTGAGACATCACTTCCGGCGCTTGCGTAAACTATGCCAGAGCGCCTACACACCTCACGCACCGGATGCCGTGAGCGTGCTCAAAGATAGTTGGACATAGTGTTGTATTAGAGGTGAAAAATTATATAAATACTGTTCGGTTTCTCGCACAAACCAATCGTTTCGTGTCTTAGGACATCAATGTGTCGTCACGAGCCACAGGGTTTAATTTGGATTTGTCTGTGCATGTTTTTTTTTACTCTCATAGATTTTGTTACCATTGCCATGCATTATACGACTGACTGCAACGGTTGGAGTTAAAAATCATAATTTGTGTTCTACTGAAGAAACAAAGTCACCTACATCTTGGATGCCCTATAGGGGTAAGCAGATAAACATAAAATTTTCATTTTTGGGTGAACTATCCCTTTAAGTAGATCTCCATCATGGGCATCAAGACGTTAACCTTTGTCTCCCATTGGCATCATTTATTTCAGATGACCCAGCCGGCATGTAAAAAAAACTTTAGTTAGTCACTTTACATGTAAGTCAGATGTTCTCTTCATGTAAGTGGGCAGTTCCGGGCCAGAATATCCTGCAATGAGGACCAGACGTTTTGACGCAAATGAAACTAAGCATAACAGCAGTTCTTCTACAAAATCAGGGCTGTGTTTCCTCTTTGTCAACAATAGGAGACTGGCACTAGAACAATGCTCAGAATATGAAGTTGGATATGTTATCCGATGCAAAAGTGTTGGACACCTTGTCGCCCATACCAAAATGATAACCAGAATTACTTAATCGTTCCAATAAAGATTTTCTTTAAGGGAAGAGGTGTTCTGGGAGTTTGTAAAGCAATGTCATCAGGCTGAAGAAATAATCACAGGCACACAATGAAACACAAATACAGACACTGGTCAAAGTTATTATTGTAGAATACTTTGATTATTTTATACAGACAAAAAGTGTTGACTTATTTTCCCATTCAATTCTTAGATTTCCATACAGTTTAGTCTACAGTATACAGCTGTGTTCTTTCATCATATATAGATACTTTTTTTTCTCTTAAGTAACAGGCAGGTAATTATTAATATATTTAATAGTTCAATTTTTTACCTCTTTTTTGTCTTTTTTTCCCTTTGTAGAGCAGTAAGTGTATGTTCAGGAGAATGTGCAACTGTTTTTTCCATCAGTTAAAAGAGCACTGATGGAAAAATACAATAATAATCATAATAATAATCA